CTTTCGAGCCTATACAGCTTGGAGTAAGACAACATGCATGAAGAGGATGATGTGGACAAAATACTCATTTGCCTAATAATTCTGCACTCCCTGTATTAGGGAGACAAACTCTGGATATTTTCAAGAAAATCTTCTAAACACACCTTTTTAAATCTGGCATTTAACAACAGCTTCCTCTTAATAATAATACCACTCCACAGCCATGCCTTCAGTAATCTGGCAGATACAGAGTTTTTTTCCTCTCCACAGTTTTCATATCTTATTGGCCCTTTACTTCCAAGTTTGAATCTTTTTCACATTTCTCTGTTTTATGGGATTTCATGTATTATTTATTTTTTATATATGGACTGTTTAAATAATAGTGTGTGTGTGTGTGTCTGTGGGTTGGGGGCATGTTTATATTTATGACGGGTTGTTTATTTGTTAAAATGTCTTTTTTAATATTTAGACAGAGCCACCTATTTTTCTTGCATGTTTTTTATGCCTGTGAAGCCCTTTGAATTTCCATGTGTAATATTGGGCCATACAAATACATTTCAGTTGAACTGATTGCAATAGAGTGGAATTTATAGAAGTATTTCTTTGAATAAATAAAGCTCCTCAACCAATTCTTTCATCTTTAACATCCTCCCTTTCCCGTGTAATTGTCTCTCATCAGAAATGCCTAACTCTTCTAAGAAAGTGAGGCTAAGCCTAACCAGAACAAATCCACCAGAGCTTAAAGGGATTGCCCATGAATTCAGACCCCTCACATACCTGCGCCTGACCTCCCAAATCCTGTACACACAAGATGGAAGATCAGCTTTGGCTGAAACCAATCCTCTCTCTTTATCTGTGCAGCCCTGTGGACTCAGAGTGGGCAGAGAGCGGACGCCAGCCTCTTGCTGCCCTGTGCCGTTAAATAGCCCACCAAAAGCTCTCATGGAGCTTTCAGGAGTAAACTAATCCCAGGCAAATGCTCTTACAAAAATCACTTTAGAAATCTGCTGGAATCAATGTAAAGCCTCGCAGGGACACAGAGCATGTGCCAGTCTGTAGGGGATGTGTCATATTCCCCTGTTGGTGGTAGTGAAAGCTCACATAAATACTGCAGTATTTCATTAGAGTGAAGTAATGGCTGTGGAAATGAAAGCAATGAAATAGTCATTTACATCTGGCAAATAACCTGATTTAACGGTCCAATGTGCTGAGATGTTACACACAGCTCTCATGAAACATTAAAAAGCTGCCCTATATGAGCATTTGTCAGCATAATGAGGCCATATTAGAACGACATTCAGCTCCCACGATACGGTGCAGTTTATTATATGAGTATACACACGCTCCTCTCCCAGTATGCATTGCAAATGCTGATTAACTCTGAATCTTTTGTGACCCGAATCCAATTTTATTCATTCATTAGTTTCAAGCACATGCAAGCACCACATTTGTTATCTGTCATCATGTAAAAACTCAGCCATGTTGTTGCCATAGTATTACTATGAGCTTCATGGATTTTATATAAGAATTAGTTTAATAAGAAAGAGACACAGGGATTAAAAGCAGTAGAGACTATTGCTTCTCTGTCTCATTATGTGGAGTTGTTTTTTTCCCTTTCTCAGCAGCTCTGAGATAAAGGAGTGCTCAAAATGATCTTTTAATGCACCGTAAACACATTAAAAAGAACTAAGTGAAGGATGATGGCTATAGTCAAGCATTATAATACACAATAGGTGATAAATGGTGTGCTTTTGTGGTTTTATATTCCAGAAATACTATCATTTATAAGTGGAAGTGTGCATATGCAGTTGTTTTGACATATCTGTGCATTTCACGGATGCCAATATTGATAAACAACAACTCAATAATCTGCACAGGAGGTGAATTCAACCCTGCGTCTGAAGTTGATAGCGGCATATGTCTTACTTGGATAAAACAAAGCAAAACGATGTCTCAGAGCGCTACACTTTCTGTTTGCCTGGCAGTCACTGACACAAAGGTTATTGCCAAACTGAGTCAGGTCAATTGCTATTGCTCTACAGGGAAATTCATTTAGCCTTTTATGGATGTTACCTATTGTTTGGAGGCATAGATTTTAACTCCCAGGTCAATTACGAGCAGAACAAATTTATATTAACTGGAATCAGCTCGAAACACACTTGTTCACCATATTAATGTGATGTGCTCTGCTTTCGGTCTAAATTTTGATCGAGCTGTTTGTTTTATTATTATTGCTGTTTGTGTTATTTTAATGTTTTGCAGATGCATAAAATTAATATTAACAATACTTTTGCTGTATTTATTAAATCCTGCAGTATATATAGAGGATTTTTTCTATCACTGGCAATCATGTCTTTAATTACTTTGAATGGAAAAGACTGTTTTAAGTGAAGACTATTGTATCTGGGCTATTACTAGGACTTAGGGCATGCCCCCC